GAGGGGGGGAGACCGCGGGTGCCGCCATTTCTGTGGGGGCGCCGCCATGTTGGGAGGGTCCGTCCCCTGACGGGTGTCTCCCCGCTATCGTGACAGGCCCAGCAGCGCTGCGAGGGCTGCGACAACCTCTTCGGCGAGTACTATTGCGGCGTCTGCCACCTCTTCGATCGCGACAAGAAGCAGTACCACTGCGCCGAGTGTGGCATCTGCAGGTGAGGGGGCCCTTGGCCGGGCTCCGGTTCCTCTGTGTGGGGAGCGAAGTGGCGCTGCCCACAGAGGAGTGAACCGCCCTTGACCTGGTGCTTTTTCTCCTCAGGATTGGTCCAAAGGAGGACTTTTTCCACTGTTCAAAATGTAATTTATGCCTAAACTTGAGCCTTCAAGGAAAGCACACGGTAAGAATACCTTGGTTAGCTCCTTATCTTTAAAAAAAAACCACCAAAACGCCTTGAAAATGAGAGGTCATAGTGCCTCGGCTCCATCCAAGGCCATACAGACAGGGCAAGCAGCAGGTACTCCTTTTTCTCTGTCTATCCTGAACAGCAACACAGTGCTTCTGGGCTGGCTTTACTCGCACATGAAGCTGAAATACAGATCTAGGTCTCTTCTCCTTTTAGAAAGAGCCTTTGATTGCAGATCTGATGGGGTATAAGTTTGAGTTTCTGCTGTAAGAGTGGAAAAGGTAGGCTGCCCGCTGCTGTGGCAGTTCTGGGAGTCCTTTCCTTATGTGTACTTTCAAGCTGTTTGGGTTTTTTTAGTATGCTAAGCCCCCTGTTAATTCTCTGAACTTCAAACCTAAACGCAAACGGTAGTGCTTTGTACATCTTTTCTTAGTGCTCTAAAGGAACCCCATGCAGTGCTACAGGCTTGGGGATGAGTGGCTGGAGCTGCCAGGCAGAAAAGAACCTGGGGTGTTGGTGGACAGCAGGATGACCATGAGCCAGCAATGTGCCCTTGAGCCAAGAAGGCCAGCGCCATCCTGGGGTGGATGAGAAGGGGTGGTTGTAGGGCAGAGAGGTTCTCCTGCCCCTCTGCTCTGCCCTGCTCACACCACAGCTGCAATCTTGGGTCCAGTGCTGGGCCCTCAGCTCCAGAAGGACAGGAACTGCTTGAAAGAGTCCAGCAGGGCCACAGAGATGCTGGAGGGAGTGGAGCATCTCCTGCTGAGGAGCGGCTGAGGGAGCTGGGGCTCTTCTGCTTGGACTGAGGGGTGCCCTCATTCCTGGGGATCCATTTGGAAAGGGCAGTGTCAGGAGGAAGGAGCCAGGCTCTGCTCTGGGATGTCCAATGCCAGGACAAGGGGCATTGGTCCCAAGCTGGAGCCCAGGAGGTTCAAGCTGAAGATGAGGCCAAAGTTTGTGAGTGTGAGGGTTCTGGAGCATGGCCCAGGCTGCCCAGAGAGGTTGTGGAGTGTCCTTGTGTGGAGACCCCCAAAGCCCTGGCCGTGTTCCTGTGTGACTGCTCTGGTGATCCTGCTGTGGCAGGGGTTGCAGTGGGGGAGCTTTCCAGGTCCCTTCCAACTCCTCCTATTCTGTGATCCTGTGAATTTTAGAATTTAGAAAATTGGTGATATTCATGCAGTAGGATAACTTTCTTTATTTTTTGTCTTATAAAGTGCATTGAAAACGTCTCCAGGCAGGATTGCCCAATATGTTTGGAGGTGAGCTCCTTCTTTCCATCTCTTGGAATTGTGCTTGGCCGTATTTTCGATGCTGCTTGAATTTAACAGCTTGCTTGTCTTTTGTCTGGTGTTTGCCCTGAAACAGGATATTCACACGTCTCGTGTTGGAGCTCATGTTCTGCCGTGTGGTCACCTTCTTCACAGGTAAAGCATTGTGGATATTTGAGAACAGCAAATACCCGTGCCTTTGCGTGTCGTGTTTATTCAGCAGCCCTACAGCTCCCCAAGATGATGGAGGGCTTTGCTCTACAAAAACAGCCAGCTCTATTTGGATTTTAAAGTGTAGTGGTAGATAATTTGGGGATAGCTGTGTGCCTTTTCCTTCAGGTCAGTCCAAATGTGTTAGCAGTCAGTATTTGTGTACTTGTTACTGAACTTCTCATTGGGTTTTCTTTTCAGAACGTGCTACGAGGACCTGCTAAAGGAGTAAGTACTTCTAAACATCTCTTAATATTATTATAATCCTAAATCCTAATATTATTGTAGTCCTAAATTACTTCAAGAGACAAAGATCACGGTGCTCATGTACCCAGTAACTCACACCCCATTTCTAAAGGGAAAAGGGGCTTTTAATTTTCACTTCTGATTGCAAGAACTGTTTGATTTGTGGTGTTTCTCTTGGGTATGATACGAAACTTGGCCTTTTGGGGGACTTCTTTCATGGCCCCTCTCATTCTTCTGATTTAGACTCCTGCTTTTCCTGTTTCCCCAGAGGTTACCGGTGTCCGTTGTGCATGCACTCGGCTTTGGATATGACGAGGTACTGGCACCAGCTGGATGATGAAGTGGCACAGACTCCTATGCCCACAGAGTATCAGAACATGAGGGTGGAGGTAAGGGGCCACGCGTGCACCCATCCCATGCCCCTGCTTTTGGCAGAGCTGTGCCTTTCCATTGCTGGCAGTAGAGGGCACCAGGAACTCCTCCTGAACCAGAAGTCAACCTGTTTGGGAGCGATGAAGAGATGTTGCGTGTAGGTTCACATCCACTGGGTTAGCAAACAGAAGCACTCCCAAAAACCACAACCTCGGTGTCGTAATATCACGCAGCGGAGACGTGGCTCGGTCTTTGGCAGCGTCCTGCTTTCTCCAGTAGCATTAGACGCCGTCGTAGCGAAAAGCAGGAAGATCTGGTTCTAAACAGCCTGGAGCTTCATGTTTCAGAGTAAACACCATGTCTTTTTCTGCAGAAACGCTGGGCTATTGATTTATGCAAGAGTAGCAAAGAAAGACATGTGTCTTAACATCTTTATCAGTGATCTGGATGAGG